GGGACAAACCAAACACTGGCTTTAGATAGAATTGTTCATGTTTGTCATAGTTTCTCCTTCACGCTTGGAAGGGGTGGGTGAAGCGAGGGAGTTGCAATCTGCAACTATACCGCTAGATGCCACTAAATCCTACAGACTGGATGTTTAATACACATAAAATACTCTGCTTAATAATAATAATAATAATAATGTGCATCTGATTCTGCAGTACAATCCAGAATCTATGATTATGCAAATACCTCCAAAGTTTACCTTCTGGACACAAGATGTCTCCAGAAATCAAGTCTGTGTGCTAGAGACTTCAGGTTTCCGTGTCACGATGTAAATTATTCCATATTGGACCAGGACTGACTTCCAAAAACAAATCCTGCTCATACTTACACATGTTAAACACATGTAAGAATTAGTTTTAAAGTCCGAATGAAAGCTCATTCAGTTATCCCTGGTTTGGTAACGGACAATAATTAAACATTTAAATGTTGTTTAAATAGTTTTGTAATCAAAAGGAATAAAAAAGGTTTATAATATCAGAATTGCTCTCTTTCGTCTCTGCTGGCTGGAGGGGTGTGTCGGCCTCTGTGTTTGATTGACAGCAGCTGGAAAGCTGAAACTAGAGACAAAATAACCAAACTTGTCATGGGCTTACAAGTTGTGTTGTTAGTGATACTGAAGAGTAAGAACCACACCAGCATCTAACTGGATCTGACATTTGCAGGTCTTTTTAGGTGCTTTTTAATGTGCTGCAGCTGAGCAGTAATGAGCTATCTACTCTGCAAACTGACATTAACGGTGGTGTTTGTTTGGTAGCTCGTTCAATAAGCTACGGTGCAGGAGAAGACATCCAGGTGTGTAGAGGTTTCACTCTCTACAGTTTACCGTATCAAATCTGGGCTACTTCCTCCCTCACACACAGAAAACACACAACTTCCTCAACAGAAGCAGCTTCTTCCCTGGCTGTGTCCTTGGGGGAATCTCTGAGAATGTACTTGTTGAAAATGACATAAATTCTTAAAAAAACACAAATGAAGCAGGCAAATTGTTACCTACATTCTGTTCACACTTTCTAGATAATCTGGTGAGCGCTCATGATTCACCTGGTGGATCGTGGGCATGTCCCGAGCCCAGCTGCTGTGCCAGGTTGTGATGAAGAACAGAGGAATTCAGGTTGTGAACGATACCTGAAAGGAACAATCTTTGTATTGTAAAACCGTCTGAATGCTCTTACTGTTTATGCACGGATTTATCTGAATAGGAGCGTCAGCCTTCTGAACAGCAAAGTGTCATCACTCAGGCCGCCCTCACTGAAGGCCTTTGAATGCTTTGTTTTGTGCTTGCCTTGCACATTGCTCTCCAGCCGGCCTCGGCCCGCTTTTGAGTGCCTGATACAGATATGAGGTCACAGAATTGAGGAAAAAAGCCTCCGCTGAGGCCTGTGGGCACTTCTGCCCGAGTAAACAAAGAGGCAGGCGGCACTTTGCTTCCCTCAGGGGCCAATGATTCCCCTCAAAAAGAAGGAAGAGCCACAAAGGCAGCTTTTAGATGCTGGTGCAGACGATCACCTGGGGGCGCTTCGCGGCTTTCCATCGATCATCAATATCTGGTGCCACTTAGGTGTATAACAGAAGCTTTTAGGAGTGAGACAGCATGTTTTTATTTACTGAAAGTACACCAAAAAAAGTTATCCAGCACTCCCATGAAGCAGTGGGTTGTTGTTCTTTGTGCTCCGAGTCAACAGACTTAAATGAGAATGATTAAACGTTTGTGTTGTCTGTGTGATGCAGCTGGAAAAGAAAATTAAAGCAATTAATCAGGGACAGCGGCATCATAACATGGCATGTGGCTGCCATTTGTATTGTGTTTTTTCCCTGAGCAATACTGAAGTGGTGGCGGTTTTGTGTGTATGTGACTGTGTGTTTGTTTGTCTGTGCATGATGGATGATTTTCTCTGTGAGCCATTAGAGACTTTAGAGGCTCCTGTGTGATTGTGTTCCTGAACTTCTGGATTTATGAGGACCTAGTGATGCCACAACAATAAAAACATAAGCAGAAACAGTTTAAAGGAGTAGTTCATCCGTCTTCCCTGTCCAAGAGTTAGGTGAGAATATTTACACCACCTTCAAGCCTTTCAAGTTACTGGTTAGCTTAGCTTAGCATAAAGACTGGAAACAGATTCTGTCCAAAGGTAACAAAACCTGGCTAACGTACTACTGACTGAGAAACTTTGCCTGGGAAAATGTAAATAACTTCATCTGATTTTGTCTTTTCACTGATGGTCTCATATGGTGTCATAGAGGCTTCAGTTAAAAACTCCTTGCCCCTGCAGTAAGATTTGGGTGCAAGATTAGATTTTACATTATGGTTAAAGTAGAAGTGAAAGAGGTGGGGGGCAAGAAGATGGAAATGCTGTAAGGTTAAAGATAAAAGAGTGTAGCATCCATTTATCTTATTGAAATAAGACACAAGAGAAATGCAGATTTAATAATGAAGTTAGCATTTATTTCCCCAAACCTGAGATAAACCAGTGAGTGTGTGAGTGAGTGTCTGCAGGCCAGAGGCAGCATGAAAGCACATGAACAAATGCCATGTCAGGATACAAGTCCTTATTTGCCCGGCTGTCTTTGTGCTGTGTGTGTGTGTGTGTGTGTGTGTGTGTGTGGGCAGAGCAGTGTATGTTATAGCCTGTATTTACTGCGTCTCTACATGCAGTTCTGAAGGTGTGTTTTCATTAGCGTGGCTCCCAGTATGGTGATGATAAGCATTTTAAATGTTATATCCTGGGATGACAAAGAGAAGCATTTTCAGGTTACAGCCTCTAGAGATACAATGCATGTGAGTAAAATTTAAACCCAGCATGACCCAGATGTGATCTTTCCCTGCTGCCACAACATACATGAACATCTGTAAAAAATCTAGGTCACATGGGGTTACAAATCACATTGGCTGTTGTGTCCTGCTTAGGCCATTTTCACATCAAATTTAATCAGTACACATGTATAGTAATCCAGACTGTCAGCCCCTGCCCTACTTTTGCATCGAGGGAGAGACAGAAGCGCAGACGTAAACATAGACATCAACACCGGGAGGCGGTCAGGTCAATCAAAGAGACAGAGGAGGGGGTGGGCATGGCAGACCCAGACAGTGCATGACACCGACTCCTCCACTGCTCTGCTTTAGGAAAGAGAGAGAGAGGGAGGGGGGAGAGAAAGAG